TATTTGGAAGTATATAAATATATCTGAATTAACTTGAACAGTATGTTACAGAACAGTGTGAGTGCACTGAAGGCCCACCAGGAGCCACACTGTTTCTGAGGAGGAGCTGGTGCTGTGGTGTCCATGAGCTGATGTTGGATGGCATGTGATCAGTTGGTTAGCTGAGCTGTTTGCTAGATTAAGGCTACCAGACTTCACACACTACCTAAAAATTCTTCCTTGCTTGCTTACACTTCATTACTGAGTTCCTATACGTTTACATTTGCCGGTCAAATCATCTTTCACTTTTGCATCTTTATTTTTTAGTGCTTTTGATGAATGATTCAGACTCACAACCTTTCAAAAGGCACAAAATACTAAAAATAAAAACAGTAAAACTGTAAATGGAAACATTAAGCAAGAAATGTTACTTTAAAAAAATAAGTTCAAACACAGAGGAAACCACAACGGAGACATTTCTCTACAAAATGAAGTTCCCACTTCTGAAACTTCTTGCCCACAGCTGTTATTTTTCACCTTAGGTTTGCGAGCCAAATGTCAAAGAAGCAGCCAGTATGTGAGGGTGCATCTCATTCCACATTTCAGACTTTTCTAGTTCGTTTTGAATTAATTAGTCCAGCTTAAAGTAATTTATGTCAGCTGAAGCTCAGCTAATGTGGCCAAAGAACCATGAATAAAATTAAGCAAGAATCAGTATAACATTAAACGCCCCTTTCGCATATTTGATTGTAAAACACATAAGTTCTGAGTGAGGTGAAGCAAACACACGCTACTTTTCTGTAATCTTTAGAAAAAATACAAATACATAATTTGGGATAATGATCAAGTATTCTTTCTGTCAGGTACATAACTTCATCCAGATAAGTTGTTGTTTGCTTGTTTGTTTGTTTTTAACTGGTATACTACATGCTTATTTGTTTGGTTTTTATAGAAATTCATAAAGTCTACCAAACTAAACTTCTGTCTATAAACTGTTGGACAAAGACACAATTTCTATAGATTTGCTGCTGCACATCACCGCAATAACTTTTAAATCAGCCATATTTCAGCTTTAATTCGGTGGTTTGGCAAAGATTTTAATTAACGTAAGCACCTGTTAATTAAATTTTAATTACGTGTTTATGAATTAGCTG